AGAGGCATTTGGCACCGCCCCCAAAAGTTTTTGCACCCCTGCAAATTATATATATTTTGATTTGATAGTTTCATATTTGATTATTCTTACTACTAAATTTGTAAAATTACCAATATTATGGTCTCAGATCTCGCCATGCAGGCCTAGAAAACCAATTTTGTTAAACTTTTTCCTTAGCCTTTCTGTGCGTTGGTACCACGCCCCGGCCAAAGCAAGTAGCAGCACCCCCAGATATTTATTCACCCCCCCCCCCGAACTAAAATATGAAATCCGTCTCTGACCAAAATTTACATAAGTGTGCAAGTACTGTATATGCAATCCTATCTGAACATTATTCAGGTACACTTGATGTTAACCCTTTAAGTGGGAATGCATACACCCTGATGTGCCCTAGCTTATTATTTTACAGCACATTTTTCTTTCACAGATATTGATGCGACTGGGAAGCTAAGAAGTGGGATTGCACGTGGCAATCTCTTATGGCTTGGATCGTATAGTGGATGTCTTGCCTTATCTGATGCCAAATATTGTATTTCATCCATTGAGATGGATTATCCAACTTATAACATTGTACGTATACTGATAACTTTATGTTTAACTAATTAACTATCAGCCATTTAATGACACTGTCACGTCACACCCTAAAACTCTTATTAAGGGGAGTAGAATATCCTGGTACATCTGGTCATGTTTCAGCTTTTATATTAAAACCAACGTCCCAGGGAGATTTACTCTTGATATGGGTAAAATAACACAGTAGAGTGCATTATATGGCTTAATGGGTTTAATAAATGGCCTATGTGACACAAATAACCTACTTGTAGCCCAATAATAACACCCGATACTCCCCACCTGATAATTATAACCAGCAGTGGGGTGGATTTATCACATCAACACATTCATCACTACATTTGATCAAGCTGCATATATCTCCAAAGAGGTTACTGTGTCAGCTAGAGTGCCATATTAAGATATGCCTGTAGCATAGACTAGATACAGCATGTGCACAGTATGATTCTAGATCTTCACCCTAGCTACTGTAGTAGCATGTACGAGACAGGGGGCTCCCAAATTTTGGAAAACCATGGAAGGCAAACGCTAGGAAAAATCAAGAAAATTTCGGGCAGATTTATTAGAAAATACATATATGTTAAAATCAGATTGTTTCATTACAATAAAAATTTGGGCAAACTTTCAACTGCCCCAATAAGCATGAGTCCCATTCTCCTATGTGTAGTATTGCAATGCATGTGAAGTTCCGCAACCCAAACTTGAGTTATACAGCAGATAAAATTGCAATGTTTGTCATTATAGTCAATTGAAAAGATCATTTGGGGTGCATGTTTTCCAAAAAGCTGCAGTGTGAAAGATATATACATAGTGATGCAATTATATATTTTACCTACAGGTATTGTTATTAACAATTATGTACTCAGTACAGACTTAACAAGTACAGACTTAAGTAGGGTGCACTGGGGCGCATTGTGGCTCAATGGGTTAACTAGAGACATTGTCAGATTTTTTGTTAACCCATTAAGCTGCAGAGCTTCCCCATTGACAAGTAAAATCGTCTGGCATTAGACAAGTAAAAAAAAGTAGGGCACACTCTGGCACATTGCAGTTCAATGGGTTAATCTCATTTTATTTGTTCTAGTGAAAAAAGAAACTGGTATTGATATAAAGTATCCAGGCTCCCTGTGTCCAGAGGGACCAACTTATTCCACTGGTGTAAAAGTCACCATGTGAGTCTTACATTGTATATGACCTTGACTGAGTGACTGTTTGACTGGCAGATGATTTAACTCCACTTGACTATGTATTATTAACACATTCTGGTGCCCTACACTTTTTCAATGTTAATTTGGTAGATTAGTGTGCTAGGTGGCCAGCCTGAGTTTTCATTGTAAACATGTTTTAGCATGACCTTATGCAATTTTCAACTACAAATTAATTTACCATGCAGTGTATATATACCATTTTACATACAGTGTATACCATAAGCAAATTCTTTTAACCCCCCCCCCCCTCTCTCAACCAGTTAACTTTTAGATGCAGAGGCAACCTTGCAAGCAAGGGCCTGTTTATTGACCCCCTCTCTATTAAGCCCTTCCTTCCTTTTGCAACAAAGAAACAAAACTGTTTAAATTTATTAAATGCTTGCCCTAGTTTACTGTGTTTTTTTGTCTGCTGAAATTTGGCTGAATCAATATGCCCTCCCTCTCCCATCCCCCCCCCCAAAAAAAAAGACCACCAAAGGGTTTGAAATAAATAACAAGAACTGTTGGTAAGTTAGATATTATAGTATATTTGTTCACATTTTCCTTGACAAGTAAAATTACTCCATAGAAGTGACTGTTGCGCACACTGGGGCACAATTGCCACAATTTACCGCATTTGCCGTTAAATGGGTTGCTCACTCACTTACTTAATTTTCTTTTTGTGCAGAGCATTTTTTGGTGTTCTGTTGTTATTCTGCGTTATTGGAACTCTTATTGATATGGTTATTGAAGAACGAAAGCAAATGAAGGCAGCTCAAGAACTACCACATGGTCCACATACCAATGGTGGAAAGACAGAGCAGCCTGGCCATACCTCGGGTGATGACTATGCACAGAAACAGCATAGTGTGGACAACTTTGCTCTCAACTCTGACAACCGTCCTTTGCTTGATCCTCCAACTCCGATTTTTTCAAGTCGTTTTATACATAATGCAATATTCTCAATACTAGGTTAGTTTATGCAATAAATTTCTGACCCTATCTTACGTGTCTCACTCAATAGGACGGTCTTTCGTATACACCTGTAGGCTGTATGGAAATTTTGAGCGAAAAAATGTACATATTATATTTTAGACCTTTTCAAATGCAGCTCTATAGGTCATAGGCTCCTGGCAGAAATCAAACATGCAGCCCTGCCATTCTGGTACAGCTCTCTAACTCCGGGCTACAGAGTCCACTGAAATTTAAAAATTGGAATCAAGATACCACAACATACTGTACATGGGTTATTTATAAAGTCTTAGTAAATTTAACTCATTAGGCTGCAGAGTTTCCCCACTGACGAATAAAATCGTCTGGCGTTAGACAAGTATAAAAAAAAGTGTGGCGCACTGGAGCGCATTGCGACTCAATGGGTTAGCTAGAGATATTGTCAGATTTCTTGGTTAACCCATTAAGAGGCAGAGCTTCCCACTGACGAGCGACGAGTAAAATCGTCTGGCGTTGGACAAGTAAAACAATAAGTTGGGCGCACTGGGGCGCATTGCGGTTCAATGGGTTAAAGATGGTTTACGAAACATTTTTTCCTTCATTCTTCTACAGTGTGCCTACAATTTGTGGAAAGAGGATAAACCTTGAACCATGCTCATTTCTCTGTGACTAATCTTTAGATACGCCATGGTTCTAGCACAGAAATTGCGTAACAAGTTTCAGAAACTCCATGTAACATGACCTTTACTTAAATTTTGGAAATTTGAAACATAGTTTAAAACAAATTCATTTCCTTTTTAGGAATTTTCCGTGATTTCCTACTCTGTTTTTCACTGGTGCGGAACAGCCGAAGGATATTCAATACGAATGTGCCAGCAACCGCAATTACATGCATTAATGGCATTCGTGTTATCAGTATATCATGGGTGATATTGGGTCACATGTTCTTGTTATTCATTTATAGCCCTTTTACAGGTACTGTTATTACTGTAGCTATGATTATATATGCATAATCTATTGCTGTCAAAAGCGGAGAGACCTCAAAGACTGTCATAGCCATAGGCATTGGCCTAAATTTGCAGGGACTTTTTATAATTTCTCTAGACAATAAAACTGGGTTGCTCGAGGACAGCCAATTGTTTAGTATTATGCCAGTGATCAATGGTTATTACTCGGTCGACAGTTTTTTCTTTTTGAGGTGTGTATACATGTATAATATAAACATACCAGTGAGATTTGTAAACCAATTTTTTTGCTTATAGTAGAGTAACAATTTTGCTAAATTCACATATTTTTAGCGGACTTTTGGTGGCCTACACGTGTTTTAGAAAATTGGAAAAAAGTGGTGGCATTTGTAAATTCAATTGGTTCTTGTTCTATTTTCACAGATTCTGGAGGTAATTGGTTTATTGAAATGCGTACGGTGTTCAAACTAAGTCCTTGGATTTATAAAGAAATCCTTGATTTTTCTTGCTTTAATTTTTGGATATTTTCTGTAATTTGTTGGTTTACTATTCTGTGCCTATAACATTAAAAAACAGACATTTTGTTCAATTGATTTTGTTCGATATGTCTTACAAAGTTGTTTGAAATTCATTAAGGATTAAACAGTTTATCGTCAATTTTTTTCTGATTTCTTACGCCTTCTTGTTGCAGGTTAACGCCGACATACATGGCCGTAATTTTAATCTCTGTTCAGTTGAAGAGATTTTTGGCAGACGGTCCTTTGTGGTATTCACAATACGAAGACAAACTGTGCGAAGAACATTGGTGGACAAACTTGCTATATATAAACAACTTTTATCCAAAAGAAATTGGTGAGGAGGTAAATTCTCTCATCTCAAATTTAAAGAGTTACAGTATAAATGCTGCCGGTAGGAGTTTATAGCATTGGCGAACTGGGAAAATTATTATTTAGCATTTCTTTTATATTGTTATGAAATGTGCAATGAACCTCTAACTCGGCGTTTACAATTTTTTTGACCTGTGAACTACTTACGTCTAGTATATTCTGTGCATGCCTTGCACCAAATTCACTCGCATATATATTTGAAATGCAATGGTTACGTTATAAGTAATTGTCAATTATTTAATATTACTGTATAGAGAGGTATAATTCATTTGCCTCTCAAGTATAAAGTAAAAGGCAACAAGTTAACCAAAAATTTCTTTTCAGTGTCTTGGTGTATCTTGGTATTTGGCTAACGACATGCAGTTTTTTGTCATTACACCACCGTTGTTAATTCTTATGTACAAGTATGTATGAACCTCTATATTACTCAAGAATTTACGTTAAAACACAAATTTGTGCAAAGTGATTTGTACATGTGCCTTTCACTTGTACGTCCATTCTTGGAATGTGCAGTTGCTTGCGTAACGTCCTTATGCATATTCAAGTTGATACAGATTTATTTTATTAAAACTTAAAAAGGTTGTCAGATTTAGATTGGGATTAGGGTTAGATTAAGATTAGGGTTAGGCTTAGAGGTTAGAGTCGGGATTATGGTTGGGGATAGAGTTCAAATTAAGGCAATGTCTTAATTTGAGCGTTTTTCACTATTAGCTAAGACATAGCCTTAATTTTGGGAAGAGATCATACTGACTTCGAAATTCACAAATAATAATAACTAGACTTACTGTAGAAAATTCATTATGATAGATAGTTTATATTTGAACTTCCATGGCAGCATACACTGAATTGCAGAAGTTTTACATTATGAATAGATAGATCAACCGGACTGACGTGAAACAGACCGAGGTAGACTTTGAGCTTACAAATGGCGCTTGAGCAGCCGCTATTAGTCCATACCTCATTAATGATCTGCCTCCAGACCTTAAGTGCCTAACCCACCCTGTCAACTTTCCCTGTGGGAGGAAACACGGAGTACCCGGAGAAAACCCACGACTTTCGGCAGAGCGTTGACTTACTCTTTTCACATTAGGACTGGGTTCGAGTCACAATGAGAAGTCCTCATTGAGATTCGAATCCGCGACCTTAGAGGTGAAAGGCAAGTGTGCTAACCACTTCGCCACCGAAGCCCCTAACTAATTATAACTATGATTTGAGAGTGGCCAATCGTGTAATAGACCTTTTTAAAAAGTCTGCCTTGTGACGTAGTTTGCGGATAAAGGAAAACCCCGCACAGCCATTTGGCTTGCCTGACTGGCCAAATGATCGTATTTATCCGCAAACTACGTCGCAAGGCAGACTTTTTAAAAAGGTCTATTATTTTTCGAACAAATTTGATATTCTCTATATTCCTTGCAGGTTCCGATGGCGTGGTATAATAGGTCCGGGCAGTTTGATTGCTGCGTCGACTGCTGCGATTGCTTTTATCATTGGATACTGGGATTTAGATCCGCTTTCTTCATTAAAGATTGGACAACAACAAACACCAGAGCAGTAAGCACTAACTTCCTTTCTCAAGGTTGTAAATGATAGTTCTTAGAGACTAGAAAGATATTTTTACATAGAGAATAGACTCTGAACAGAACATTTTTCGAAATTGCACCATTTATTCCGCCATCGTTATGATTTTTTTATGATTCTTTTGTCTATTTACGTTCTTTCTAGGCAAAAGAAAAGTGATGAGTTGGGCAAGTATGTGTACACCAAACCCTGGTGCCGGGCCCAACCTTACCTTGTCGGTTTTATTCTCGGTTACTACATCTACAGATCATCCGAACAGTATTATAACCGACGACGACGGCTTGCTGTATTTTGGGTGAGTGCGCATGGTCAATGACCTACACTAACCACCTTAACCTCTGTGTTGATCTGGTTTATTGCTGATGCAAAGACCTTTCACCTCTGAGATCGTGGGTGCGTTTCTCGCTGCGGACGCGTGACACTTGGCAGGGTGGTTTGGGATAAACCCCCAAAACTAACCTTAATTAACCCTTCGAATGCTTCTCTCGTATAGCTGTGCTGCGTGGTCAGACCTGACTTCTGAGTCATATTAGATAGATACATAGAAAAGCTTTATTTAACCACGCTAACCCCGGTCCCCGTCAAGTCGTCAACCGAAGCTGATTTCCACAGGGAGCGTGTATAAAAGAAATTACAGAAGTATAAACTTTAGAATAATTATCTATTTACATTGTACATGCATGTGTTGTCTAATTAAAAATGTGAGCTGCAATTTTCTTTTGGAAACATGATAGAGATTTGCTCTCCCTAATTTCGTTTGGAATAGAGTTCCAGAGCTTAGCACCATCATACATAAAACTCTTTCTCATATTATTGGTGCGAGGTTGTGGCAGACCACATTATGGTGGAGTCCAGAGGCGTAATCCTTTCGACTCGATCAGTTTGAACTGCGTCCTTTGCAAACCAGTTCATCTCTCGACTATTAATTTTATACGTAATTGTTGCGAAGATATTGGTCATGTAAATGTCTGTTTAATACGATCTTATCATTTCTGTCTTCAGTTAGTAACAGTCATTGGCTGGGCTGTGGCTGCAGCTCTGGGAATGTGGTTGGTCTATGGACCTCATAAGTATATTGAAAAAGGTGCCGACGAATGGCCGCTTGCCGGAAGAGTTGCGTACGGAATGTTTGAAAGATTGCTTTGGGGACTGGTTTTAGCATGGGTCACCTATGCTTGTCATTTTGGCGGGGGAGGTATGGTTATCTACTTTATCATCTATACTGATCTGGAAACAAAACTGGACTGAGATCTGGACTGAGATGGCTGGCTTCATTTTTTACACCAGTGAACAATATTTGCGCCGTCTAGTTTTCGTATGATGATAATGATCATATAAGTTAATATTTGTCTATGAGAGCTTTAGCTACCATGACGGCGACAGCTACTGTATTAATACAATGAAATTTATGATAGTGTAAAACGAAATTAATAACTAACACAAAGTATATGGTATCTGAGGTCTGACTCGACAAAAAGCCCGTAACATGCTGCCATACAGTCGCCATATTCTAGCCGGTGAGCTAACGAGAGGAACTCAGCACTCCCCCCTCCCCCCCCGAATCTTAAAGATAATCCTGGCATTTTGAATGCTTTCAGGGGGTGACGGCCCCTCCTTAGCGTACAGGCTAGGACCATGGCGGACGGTTAGACCTCTGTATAGTTTATACTGCGCTCTACTATACTATCTTTATTTGCTGCTTACGGTACTTGCTTTATTTTTGCAGGGCTCGTGCAGAAATTTTTGTCAGCGAAATTCTGGATTCCTCTCAGCCGTCTGACCTTCAATGTTTACTTGATACATATCATTGTGATCATGGTTATGATGTTTGGAGCTCAAGGGAATATACATTATGATTTCTTTAACATTGTAAGTGATTGCAGTAGAGAGATTATGGCTTGCTGGCTGCTGTAGTCTATAGATATAATCGGGCACAAATGTACTGTATAACTGTCGTGTATGATGAGTGGTTGGTATGGTATGGTATGGTATGGTATGGTATGGTATGTTATTGGTCTTCTATGGTATGGTATGGTATGGTGTGGTATTGTGTGGTATGGTGTGGTATTTTATGAAATGGTATGGTCTGGTATGGTTTCGTCTGGTCTGGTTTGGTATCGTATTTTATATATATGGTATAGTATGGTTTGCTATGGTATGGTATTCTATATGGCATGTTATGGTATGATATTCACTGTTCTCCGGCGCTGGGCAGAGACCGCGAAAACCCAGCATGTGTGCCCCGTTGTATAGCAAACCACGTGACAATTCCGGACATGCGTCATGTCAGGAGGTCACGCCACCCACGTTACGTTTGAGCTTCTCCATTACAATTCAACTACATTCAACATTCAGCTGCAATATGGGACCATAAGCACTCCCTAACTTACTAACCTGCTATTATTTTAGGCATACTACTATATCTCAGCAATAGTTTTGTCCTATGTTGCTGCGTACATCTTGGCTGTTACCGTTGAATTCCCTCTTGACAATTTGGAAAACATGGTTCTCAAATTAATCAAAGGTACAAGACGTTGAATACACCTTAAACATATCTATCTTACTGTCGTTCCAATTGAAGTGTTCCTCAAATATTGATTCAATACATTACCTCAGGCTGACCAATTCATTTCATCAAGTTCCTCGAGGTATTCATACACTTCCTGTGAAAGAGCCAATTCCAAGAATTTGATCATTTCTGGTCACTTCCTTTCTATTTATGATTGGTTAGTTGCACAAACAACAAAGGTGATTGGTGCATTCAAACTATTCAACAGGAAGTTTACAATTATACTAGGAAGTGTGTGAATATTTTGAGGAACTTGATCAAATGAATTGGTCAGCCCGAGGTAATGTATTGAATCAATATTTGAGGAACACTTCAATTGGAATGACAGTAAACAATAACATATTTTTATTAATTTTAAGAAGACATTTTTAATGTTAGCTGCACGTAGTTGTCTTTATATAATGTATAGCGACCGAATTGAAATTTTAATCAAAGTAATAATTTTAAATTAATGTAAAGTTAATATATCTTATAATTTAAAAAAGACATTTTTAATGTTTGCTACACGTATATTACCTATAATGAACTCAAGCAATTTTTAATCAATGTAATTATTTAAATTACTGTAAACCGTTAATGTTAATGTATGCAGCACATGCGACACGTCATCGTTGGGACAAATTAAAATTGACCAAACAGAGAAGGCCAGCTCTCTGCAGATGGCCTAAAAACATCTGGTATAATTACGGTTGCCACCCTACGATTTGTCGCCTTTTGTAACCGACATTTACCGACCTTACTTTCTTGTCGAATAGGTAGATGTATACTATTAATAGAAAGACATATTCAACTAATGGTTGCACAAATATACCACGAAAATCATCGAATGGTTTCAAGCCGGCCTAGCCTTTTTGTCTTCTTGGCATAGAAATGGGTTTTAAAATCTGGTTTCACTTGCATGCGATGTAAGCGAAAACAACAAAAGCAAGACTTTTTTAGACCTATTTCGAAATCTCGTTCATTTGGCACATGAAAAGTTATTTTTGGGGCTGTTCATATGGGCTGGCCCGGTTAACAGGGATAAAACTCTCGTCACGGCTTGGTTAAACATCCGGCTCATAGGCGTCATATACATCAAATACACCTTTTATACTCTCTTTCTATTGTCGTTTATGATTTTGGGGAATTTTGAAATAACTGTATACAAAGCCTGCATGTACAGGGTGTACAGGGTGTCCCAAAAAAATCGAAAACTATTGAAATCACTATTGTTAAAATTTGAATGCCCTTCCAACTGAGCTGAACGTAATGATGCGTAAAATATTGACAAGGTGCATGTATTAAAATTTAGTTAAAAACATCTCTTTGTAAAGTGCGCGATTTTCTGCTCTTGGGAATTTAAAACAGCTTCTTAAACAGTTTCTTTATGCATAAAATTTACTTATGTCAATCATTTATGCACTCGTGGGAACCAACAAAGTGCTAAGACATTAATTAGCGTTCTCGTATTGTTCTTAATCCTCAAGGGAACGCAAGACAATAGTCTAGTTCTCTCGAACAATACGAGAACGCTACGAAAACGGTACAGTGTAAACGCTGCCTCAGTCAATAGTTTTCGTTTACGAAAACTATTGAAATTAATGTATTGTTAGAATTTGAATGCCTCAGCACTCTGCTGAACCCACACGTGCATCAAAGCTTGACGTAAGTAAATTTTATGCATAAAGAAACCGTTTAAGATGCTGTTTTCCAAGATTCCCAAGAGCAGAAAATCGTGCGCTTTACAAAGATATTTTAATTTCTTAATAAGTCAATATTTAATATATGCACCCTTGTCAATATTTTACGCATCTTTGTGTTCAGTTTAGTGCTAGGGCATTCCAATTTTATGAATACGTTATTTCAATGGTTTTGCGGGGTTTTTTAGGCACCCTGTATGTAGACAAGTAGACAACACATTTTTATGTTAATTATCTTTTGTATTAGTTGTTTGTTTGCTCTGTGTAATCTGTACGCTTATACATGGTATAATTCCTTCTTCAAACACATGTCTTGTGAGGCAGATTCTTTGCAGGACTCAAAGCTTAACCAAAGTTTTTAACCAATGTTATATTGATATAGAATATATAGGACAATTGACCGCCAAGTGCAAATTTGCTGCCAATGTATATATAGAATAGAAAAACTACGTGAAATGACGTACTGGTTATTCAAACCACGACTGGTACAGTATATTCAGAGGCGTCGCGATGTGCAGTAAAGGTATGTGGTTTGGTTCATAGCTATATGTATCTCGTATGCATGGACAGATCTTTAAACCTTCATTCAACAATTTATGCCGGTATACATTGATAGACTGTATTTCAGTGCAGACGACAAGTCTTCCTTTTTATTTGTTCACACAGGAATTCGTCTGGTTATTAAGCCATGATATATGAAAGCAATTTCAGACAAACAGCAAAGCAATTTCAGACATACAGCGATGAAAAATTATATTACTATGCTATCAGTACGTGCTTCGAACTTGTTACAGAACACCCTACGCCCTCGTGAGTTGTTCGAGAAATTTGCTATTGTGCGCTCAATTTTCAGCCATTCTGCTTCATGTATACATGCTCCACAAATTGGTACTGTCAAATAAACAAGATATTTAATAATTTTTTCATTGTCTGAAGTGGGGGACGTACAGTCTATCTTCTTTTTTTTTTAATTGCTTAACAATCATAAAAAGATCGATGGTAAGGACAACAGAACATAAGTCCCTTACTAAGTCCCACCAAAAATCTTCTGTAAGTTTATGTTCGCTCTCTCAAAACATACTGCAGTATAGGGCCTTTTCAAGCAATCCCATGAGACTAAAACTACCTTCTCGCTTCCGCCTCATTGTTTTAGGGGGAAATCGACAAGGTTTGCAGGTTGACCGGGATAAAGCTGTATTATTTGGAGATCGGATATTTTCCGAAACTGACAGCCCGCAAGTTCACGACAGCCTGTAACTCGCCCGCGCTTGGAAGGCCAGGGACTAGGCTGTCTAACTAGCTTGCCACACTGAGCGCCACTCCAACTAGCCTTCATAGCAGGCGTTTATCTGCGGGCGGCGGCGAGAAGTTAGACTAAAATCAGATGGAGGGCAATTGATGAGATTCTAATGACATTCTTTTGTGCAATGTAACATGCATTCTTGTTAGTATCTGTAAAAGACTTAACACGTTTCAAACATGTTTTATAAATAATCAATTTGATTGTCAAATTTGATCTTAATTAACAGTATACTGCCTGACAGTAGCATTTTTTTTCTTATGCATTTTTTTCTATTTATATAGCTTGCATGCATATGAACATGCACTATGTAAGTCTATAACAGCATGAAATCAGGATTGTGTCTATACTCTGATTGCAAGCAGCTGCAGCCCATCAAGGGGCCGGTGACAGAAAGACTCCCAGTTATTTTGCAATCGTCCATTATGTTTGCGGTTCTCGGTTGCAGAATGAAATTTACTTGTTCACTTACGGTTTTTTTTCTGTACAGTGTTCCTAATTGCAATTACACGTTCTTTGCTCCCCCCCCAGCTACCGCATTGCAAAACAAGTGCGAATTGCAATTGCATATGCACGGACGAAAGTTTCCACTTGTCAACAGCCCTTTATACACAGGAATCCCACACTTGAGAACTCGCGATCAGTTGACAAGCAAGCAGTTAACTACTTTCATTGCTTCGTTTGCTACTTGGTGACGATTTCCTGGGAATCGCGGCCAAATCCTTTCTACGTGTTGCCCACCTGCGGTACGTAACCTTGAGCGATTCACGAAACTGTCTATCTGTTGCTGCATACACCATAGGATTACACGCAGAGGAACAAAGTGCCATAGTGTTAACCCACTGAAATACATCCAATATACGTTTTCTATCTTCTTTAATAAAGCGAAGGACAATGGGAAGAATTAAGAGTGGAAACCAGCCGACGACAAATACAGCACATATCACCCCGACGGTAATAAGCGCACTGCGGTCGATCTTATGACGAAGGTTTAAACCGCGGCGATGTTTTAAGTGAGTAGGTGGGTTGGTTTGATCTTGCAAGCTGTACTTTGACGTCAAAGACTTAGAAGCTAAAATCTTTTGTCTTTGTTCCGCTGCGATGAGTAGGATTCTTGTATACAATGGAAGAATCAAACATATGACTGTAACAAATACATACACTAGAATGACCATTCTAACAGTCGTTTCGAAAACTGCACTTGTTCCCAAAGCAATGGCAATGAACCAAACAGCTGCGACAAATATATAAGCGTTTCGTCTTCCTCCCTCGCTGTATCTAAAAGGTTTGTTTATCGCATAATAACGGTCCAAAGTCACTCCAAATAAATTCCCAGCAGATGCCAGAAGCGAAATCCACGAAAAGCATTTCCGTACTGTCTCAAACACGTTCGCTATGTACTCTTGTTGGTAATGTTTCACCAGACTCACGGCGTACATTGGTTGCGCCAGCAAGCACACAAGCAATGCTGAACATGCTAAACTTCGGATAAAAATATTCATCGTGTTCCTGAGCTTCGGGAAACGTAGAAAAGCGAAACAGATGAGTATGTTACCCAACGAGCCAACGATACTGAATACAACGTTGACAGTGCACAGTATTCCAATTTCCAAATCTGTTAAAGTGAACTCTGAGGATGTAGAATTCACAGACGCTGAAGACATCATATATAGTACATTAAAACCCAATCATGAAACGAGACGATTTTTTTACTCAATTTTAACCAGAAACCACTAATTATGGCAACATCCAGTTTAGAATATAAAACTTCCTATGACGCATAAATATATCTTGTATTCGAGTCTTAGTTGAAAATCGGTTTCCGTTGCAGTTTGATACACGGCTTCAAGTCCTTCAATCTTCATTTGAATCTAACCTACAATTCCTGCTGCTCAGACAATATTATACCATGCAGTGCAGCTGTCTTGCGTCAAACATCTTATCTGTTAACACTTCAAACGCCCACCAGAAACACAAACACAATTTGTGTGTTCTTTCATTTCAAAATTTATAAAGTTCTTATCATTCGTTTTGATTCGCAAACAAAAGCTGAAACAACGCCAAGTGTGTCACGCCATGTGCTAATACTGTGCTAATTATAAGTCATAATCCTAGGATTCCTAGCAAAGAATTCAGTCAAAATTGTCACCTTATAATCCTCAATCTATTCAGTATATTATCACACACGTAAACTAAAGAGTTTTTGAAAATATGAGTAATCATTACAAGTTGGGTTATAGAACAAAGCTACGAATGATTCTTGTGTCTGTTCAAGTGTTATTATTACTCTGAGTGTGCATCCACACCGGGCATGCTGAAAAGTTTGCCTGACCACGGTGGGAATCGAACCCACGACCTTTGGGATACACAAAAATAATCATATCTTAGAATACATTTGATGTCGAATCCGAAATATCACACCAACTCGGCTCGAGACTTGACCTCGTAGGACTTGACCTCGTAGCTCAGTTGGTAGAGCATCGGACTAGTACAGGCCTTAAAATATCTTTTACAGGGCCGTCTGACATAATGTCCGGTGATGTTGAGTTTCGGTCGGACATATGTCTGATGACCTTCAGTTCAGTTTTGACTCGGAAATAAGTCCGAATGACACAAATGAATAACGGTAAATGTTGTAAAGATATTAAATAATTTGTTTCTTTCATACTTATTTCCACGCCAAAATTAATTTGCTTGCCAGAACAGCAGTATTAAAAAAGACTTCGATTTCGACCATTTCGCTCGCCGCCCCGCGCTCGACTACGTTAAAACAACATTTCCAGTTCACCTTTTGTACAATAGTACTCCGATTTTCCATTTAGCATACAAGCCTCTAGTCCTGGACTAGGGTACATTACGTCGGACAAAGCACGAGGTTGCAGTTCGGTCGGACACCAATACACTCGGGTCGGACAAACAATAAACCTCAGTTTCATTTTGGTCGGACAGAATGTCCGGTGGTTTCCTCTCTACGTCGGACAATTTCACGAATGGGTCGGACAATGTCCGTGACCGACAGATATTTTAAGGCCTGAGTACCCCAAGGGATCAAGGTGGGTTCGATTCCCACCGCTGTCAGATAAACTTTTCTGTGTTTGCTCCAGTGTGGGATGCACACTGTGGGGACAGTAACATCAGATCATCATTTTATTATGAAAAGTATTATGCCCGAATTTGCTACAAAAATTGGGGGGGGGGGGGGGGGATGCAGATTATCACACACCGGACTAGGTTACTACACAGCCGTCCCCAATTTTTGCCATTAGGACGTTTTTGAAAAGTGTATTGTTTGGCTAAGAGGCCATGCAGTCGATATGTTGTCATTTGGCTGAAGTCGTATAATTCTTTGAGTTTTGACGGATTAGCAGCTGCATATCCGTGTTTGAAAACGTATTATAAACGTAAGATCCTGATCTCTTGAAAAAATCTATTTTCAACGCAACGTCATCTACGTCATGGAATTCATTCGAAACCCACTCGCATTATGCATATATTTATCCTGGTGTTTTTTCCTAGATCCAAATCTAACCCGTTGCCAACGTGGAAATGGAAAAAAAACGGGTGATATATTTTTCAGCCTGGATTTGTTTCGTAATTCTTCGAAATTCCCAACCTGCAGCGAACGGGCATGCATACCCCGCTTTACGAGATTGGCTCCAATACAAGGGAAATGCCTTGGGAACGAGGGTTAATATTAATTCGACATAATTTATTGTAAAATCAGACTTACAGCCATAGAATGATATATAATGACAAGGTGAACGTAACAATAAAACAGGTCATCACGTTGATCCATCGTTTTAGAAGTCAAACTTTTGCATTGTTTCGCGAGGATTTTTTTCAAAATAGGTTAATTTAAAATGATCTGAATGATCATACAGGTGGTGACGTCACCGTCGCCATGTTGGATGACATTGACAAAGGAGTTTGCTTGTTTGCAATGCAAATTTTATCCAACATGGCGTCGATCTCTTTGTCCTTTGCACATCGGCTATACAGTGTGTATAAAAAAAACCCTGAACCTTTCAAATTCACTTATAGCTATGTAACGTATTGTAGTAATTTGACAGCTGGTTGGGTAAGACTCACAAGGACCGGTTTTGTACTCATGGGACAAAACTCAAAGAAATAGAAATTAGAAAATTTAAAAGAAATACAGTATTTATATTTACGGTATACGTTATAGTAATTTGAATTTGAAAGGGTTCAGGGGTTTTTTATACACACTGTAGTCAATTAAATGGTTCTCCTGGAGACGTTTAAAAATTGGCAGCGTTCGCTTAAATGTTTTGCTTTATACATGCCAGAAGATATGCAAATTACGTGTACTTTTAATCAGTTATTAGTGCATTTTCCCGCGTAATGTTATGGGGAAACAATTATTCTTTTAGATGTTTGTTCAGTGAAAATGCTTAGGTGCGTGAATAATTAATTCTTGGTGGGCAATTGAGATTTTCAGCTCCCAAGGCCACGTCCATTAACAGACAAACCTCAGCCATAACAAATACTGTAAGTATTATTATTGAATTTAATCAATTT